AAAAAAAATTCCATGTATGTATGCCAAACACTTTGCATGAATGCATGAATCAAAAATATATGATAGTGGGCGTGACATATAGAAGCTTTTTAGGGGTCATTCATGCATGCTACTTAGTCCTAGCATGTTCTTTGTATTTTTGAGTTTCCATGTGTGAAATGCTTCCTTGCACATGCATAAAAATTGCTGCCCACTTTTCCCTTGCATTCCACTTGTTATGGTCTTTATTTGATGCTTAATAACCCTAAAAGAATCTAAGAGGTGTGCTTAAAATTTTATGCAAAACAACTTGTACTAGATAGTACAAATCAATTTCCACTCAAAAGATTCTAGGGCATGGTATGAAAGACTAAGTAAATTTCTTTTGGAAAAAGAATTTACAAGTGGAAAGGTTGATATAGCATTAATTTATCAAAAGAAAAATGAATGATATTCTTATAGTGCAAATTTATGTTGATAATTTATTTTTGGAGCTACTAATGATCACTTGTGCAAAGAGTTTTCTAATGATATGCAAAGTGAATTTGAATTGTCCATGATAGGCGAGTAAATTTTTTCCTTGCACTACAAATAAGGCTTGGAATGGAAAATTCTATGATTAATAAAGGAAACATTGCAAGTTTTAATAAAGTGTAGCTGACAGTAAAAAGATGTGTTGAAAATAACATGTTAGTATGTTATTAGGTAAATATATTGCGAATGCTATCACTATGTGCTGTTAGTTTATCTTCATAAAAAATAAACAGGAATGTGTAGTCTTCTTCACTCTAATCTTTTAACAAAATCACATAATCCTAAAGAAGTTTACTGGTTGAAGAATAATCATCTCCACTTGGAAGAGATATGGAGGAGTCAACCCATGGCCCATCTTCTGATTTGTGTCTTTGCTCCACACTTTCCTGTGAGAATGCAGAAGAAACAAGAGTTTGGCTGTCTTGTGCTAGCAACTCAAAGGCTTTAAATCTTGCATCTTGGTTGCTCTCACTGCGCTTGATTATTGGTGCTTGGATCGGAGTTTTTCCTTCAAGCATGCTCACTACAGATGACATGGTTGGTCTAAGAGTGGGAGATGGATTGGTGCATAAGAGTGCCAAGCTCAGCATTCTCATGGCCTCCTCTGCTGAGTACTTTGAACCAAGACTTGGATCTACCAATTCCAGAAGGTTTCCTTGTTCTTGGAGAACATAGGCCTATACACGTAGCAAATAGAAATTTAACCAAACCATAGATATAGCAGAAAAAAAAATTGTATAAGAAAAGAAGAGCAAAGAGTAATTTATCCTTTAGTTTAATAATATTTTTCTTATATCTCAATTTGTTATTCTACATTGCTATTTTATTATGAAAATGAGCTTTTGTTGCCAGATATATATTTGGCATATGCTTAGTCAAATAGAAATGGAATGCGACAGATAAAGATGACAATTCTAGCTGTCATAAATTCACAAAACTACAAGAGTTCAACTAACCCAATCTAGAAGATATACAAACTCCTCCTTTGGCCTGTATTTTGTGTTGCTTTTTCCACTGACAATCTCTAAAGCTACAACTCCAAAGCTATATACATCTGCTTTATCAGTCAAGTAACCCCGCATAGCATATTCTGGAGCCATGTAACCACTAATAAGACATGTAGTAATCAATAGTTAGTGATTTCACAAAACCATGAAACATAAGTGTTCCTAGGATCATTTAATTGATTATAACTTCATGCAAGAGATAAATTGTGGACAGCAATGCAAGCCAATTGTTTGTGCTAGCAGAATTAATGATGAAATATCAGCTAATTATAAACCAAGTCTTGACTCTTAGCTGTTTATGCAAATAACAAAATATGATCTAAATCATGGATTCAAACTAATAGATGTAGCACAGTACTAACATTGTTCCAGCTATCCTTGTACTGATATGAGTATTCTCTTCTTCATCAAGCTTAGCTAAACCAAAGTCAGAAATCTTGGCATTCAGATCCTTGTCTAGTAAGACATTGGTTGCCTTAATGTCCCTGTGTACTATTTTCAACCTTGATTCCTCATGAAGATAAGCCAATCCTCTTGCTATCCCCACACAAATCCTCATTCTTGTGGGCCAGTCCAAGTGCAACTTTTGTTCTTGCTCACCTAATGAAAATGTGGGGCGAAGGAAATGTTTTTTTTTTTTTTTTTTTTTTTAGTTAGATCT